TTATAATTGATTTTATATCACCTTGCAACTAATTATACAAAATATGCTAAGGTATATTGGCTTAGTTGATAATGAATTGATAACTCATACACAAGAGATCATAGTTTAACTCTCACTATTGATGTGATGATCTCCTTGATGAGTGATTTATAAATATCTATATAAATTCTTTTTGAATATTAAAATTTTCTCTTATCCTGGTGAATCTTTAGACTCCAACTCACATAAATTTTTTGATTTTCAAAATTATACCAAGTATAATCTATAAAATTAAATATTTATAATAATGTGACAGTTATAATGGATTAATAATATAAATAAATTTAGTAAGGATGTTGGTAGTATAAAACAGAGACTTATTAAGGCCAGAAATGACCTTCAAAAATCTCAGGCTGATTTGATTCTTTGCAGAATGGACAGTAGGAGGATTGAAGAGGTGAAAAAGTTCACTGAAGAAGTTATAAAATCTCATGAACAAGAGAAGAATATGTTGCAGCAGAGAGCCAAGATTGTTTGGATAAGGAAAGGAGATGGTAATAATGGTTTCTACTATGCTTAACTCAAAGCCAAGCAAAATTCAAAATGTTTGAAATTCCTGCACAAAGAGGATGAATGGTTATTGCAGGGCAGAAGAATATTGAGAAAGAGGTTATGCATTTTTATGATAATCTAATGGGAATTGAAGTGCACTCTATCAAACATATTGATGTTGATTCTATGAGGAAAGGTATCCAGATTACTCTGGAGAAGAGAATGCAACTTGTGAGGTATGTTTCTATTAAAAAGATAGAAGATTACCTTAAAGACATTAGAGATAACAAGGCCCCAGGAATGGATGGATATAGTGCCAAATTTTACAAGGCCTGCTGGAAAATTATTAAGAAGGATGTAATCTCTGCAGTGATGAAATTTTTTACTACTGGAAGAATTTATAGGAAGTTCAATATCACAATTGTTACTTTAATTCCTAAAGGTGAGAGTGCAAAGAGTATTAAAGACTATAGACCTATTGCAGGTTGTACAATTTTCTTTAAAATCATATCCAAGATCATGACTGCTAGGTTGGGAAAGGTTCTGCCTTTTGTTATAAATAAGTGCCAAGATGCATTTGTTTCTGCTAGGTTGAGAAATGTAAAATGGACTTATTTTGTTTTTGTTAAGAGAAGAAATAAATTTGCTTAAGAAAATATTTTTGGTCTTTTGGTTTTAAAAGAGATAAAATAAAGCATGTGAATATAAAAATGTTTTTGAGTATTTTTGGTTAATGAGAAAAAAATGGTGGTAAAAATAATAAGAGGAAAAGGAGTCAGAATCAACGCATGGCTGAAGTAAGAAGCTCTGATTCTGGTGCGCTGCAAGTCGGAAGGAAAATGTTAGCAGAAAAAGGGACGGTCAGAAGTTCTGGTCTGGGTACACTAAAGTTCTGGGGTTGCTGGGAACAAGGGAAACCCTAGAAGTTATGATGCAACTGGTAGCCTAGAAGTTCTAATGTCACTGGAAGGTTAGAAGTTCTGGTTGTTGAGAGAGTGTGGAAGTTCTGGTAGTTGAGAGTTTGGAAATTCTGGTTGTAGCTAGAAACTTAGAAATTCTAGGGTCGTTGGCAAGCTAGAAATTCTGATGATAGGTATGTGAAGTGTCAATGCTTTTGGGTGGGAATATCTAGAAATTCTGGTCTAGGAATATTGTCTAACAGATAAATGGGTGAAAATGTCAATAAATAAACCTAAAAAAAATGCTTCTGGGGCTAGAACCCAAGACCCTTAACACTAATGTCTTACGCGCACGCTTTCTACCACTAGGGTGGCTGTACATCTGGTATTAGAAGCAAAAGCAAAAACATGTATCACAAAGTAAACTTTGATGATGAATTTCATCTCCTTCTCCATGCTAGTCAGAGCATCTGCAACTTAGTCATTTCTCAACAAAAACAGAAAATATGCACATAGCAGTTATGGCAGGTTTCATCATGTTTCAGAAATATAAGATATCAGAACTATAAATCAGAAGCAAGCATGAATTTTGTTAATCATAATTCTGACTCCTAATTTCCTCAAGAAGTTCTGAACTGAGGTTCTCTCTACTTAGGCAAAAATACATGAAATTTATGAATATGTACAGAATCAGAATCAGGATGTCTACATTGTATTTTTGAACATGCAAGTCTAACAATGCCTAAGTGATATGATGAGAGTCAGCAGAAGCTTGCCTTGCAGTTGGAAAAGGTTATGTGAAATAGAGTCTGGTTCTGACTGTTTGTAATGTTTTGATCAACTTCCTCACGTGCTCAGCAGGCGGGAACAACCTTTAACTTGGGCTATGAATCGCTGGAAAATTCTGGAACAACCAAGAATCAAAGTTCTGATTTTTGAAATGGAAGTTGGTGGAGATGGGATTGCAGTATGTAAACAGAAGTTGGGATTGTTTCTAATTGTATATCATAAACTGTGTTGACAATTTGGTCAAGAAATACTTGAGGAAAAACTGAGTTTGAAAGCAAAAATCAAAGACTAGCAGGTGTTGTATTTGTGTTTGCAGTTTCGGATTATTAGAATTTTAGCAAAGTTTCAAGGCTTTTTCTTTTCAATTTTCGGACTTGTTTACAATTTCCAATGAAGTTCAATTTATAGGCAAGGATTTTGTAGCTTGGAGAAGCCAAGGGTACATCCATCATGTTAGGGCGCTGACTTGTTCTTGATGCAAGTTAAACAAGTATAATGGTTAGCAGCTTTTAGCCGTGCCTAAGATGGAATTGTAAGCATGAATTAAGGAAAAGTAACCTCAGAGGCAAAAGCAAAGCATGGGCCCGACATAAACTTATACAAAAGTTTGCTTTTCAAGGACAACAATGGTACTTCTATGCCACACGTGGGGAAATCCTTTGGATAAAGACTCAAAAGTAGGTGTGAGCATTAAATAGTGATGAGATTTATCAAAACATAAATCCCACAATATGAGATTATGCATCATAGCTTGGATCTGGATCAAAAGTTCAACATCAGCGTAACTTATAACAAACATCCAACTTCTGATCTTTGAATCTCTCTGCTCCAGCATGTTCTGAAGGAATTCTCAGACTTTTCAGAAAGCTTATAACACGCTTTGTAGATTTTCTTTGAATTACCCTTGAAAACTCTGGTTGAACCTTCGTGAAAATTGTCCCAGAAGTTCTAACCAAACTCTGTCTTAGAAGTGTCCAGAATTTGCTTAGTGCTTCAGATTCATGGACGTGCCTTCAAAGATTCATAACTTGATCCCAATATTTTTAGGAGAAGTTCTGTTCTGCAACGTTTGAGATCTCATTGAGGTCTACAATTCTCGTGTTAGAAGTTCTTCCAGAATCAGCTTGCATCATGGTGAAAATTTGACCAGAAGTTATGAACTTATCATATTTCTTAAACACTTAAAAAAATTTCTAAGTATTTAGAATTTGACTTTTTCCAAAGTAATTTTGACTTTTGATTTTCTTAATGAAACAAAACTCCATATTCTATCATGTCTTGATGAAATATGATTCTTGAAACTTGATTTTGATCCAAAAGTCAAAGTTTAACCTTTCAGTGTGTAATTGACCATTTTGCCCTTGTGCCAATTCCAACCCTAGATTGATGTATCAATGCTGCAATCTTGACGTCATGGAAGATCTTGTGAGAAAATCCTTGAGAAAAGAGGGCAAATTTTGGGGTACAACACCATATTATTCCAACATAATTAGGCACTGGACTACTAAGCTCCTGAGTTATGTTGAAAGGATTCAGCTTGTCAAGAGTATATCCTGCTCTATTACTCAATTCTGGATGCAGTGTCTCCCCATCCCAAAGATTGTAATCAAGAAGTCTGACTCGCATTGTAGGACCTTTATCTGGACAGGTAGTGTTGAGATAAGTAGGAAGAGCCCTGTGGCTTGAACCAAGGTCTGCAACCCTATCAATCAAGGTGGTTTGAATGTTATCAATCTAAATATGTGGAATAAGTGGCAATGTTGAAGTGCTTATAGAACATTAGTAAGAAGAGTGATAATCTTTGGGTTAAATGGGTGAATGTTTAAAATTCAAGGATATTATGGAAATAGAAGTTGGTGTCAACTGGTCTTGGGTGATGAAATACATGCTGAAGCAGAGACATCATATTACTCAGATGCAGAATCATTGTGACTGTATGATCAATAGAGGGAAATTCTCCATGAAAGAGACCTATGATGAACTCATTAATGATGGTACCACCGTTAGTTGAAGGAAGGTGTTCAGAGGCAATAGTGCCAGACCTCGAGTCATTCTTACCCTTTGGCTTTTACTCCATGAAAAATTACCCACTAAAGAGAGGTTGAAAAGATTCAATCTAATCCAAGATATTGTTTGTAGCTTATGTGCATCGTATGAGGAAACAACTAGTCATCTATTTTTTGTTTGCAGGATTACTAAAGATATTTGATAAGATATTCTGAACTGGATGAGTGTTCACCATGAACCCAAAAACTGACAGGAGAAAAACAAGTGGATTATTGAGCATACAAAAGGAAAAGGGTGGAAAGCCCCAATCTTAAAATTAGTCTTAGCTGAGACTATTCATGGTATATGGCTTTACAAAAATAGTGTAATTTTTAGAACACGAGATCATAACATTAATATTGTTGAGAAAATTATAGAAAACATAGTTTACATGGGTTGGGATAATAGGAAAATTAGGAAACATCTTACTAGAATGATGCTATAGATTTTTGGTTTTGTCTTTTTGGTGGACTGGATCCAAGCGATCGTCTTGTACGTATTTTGATTCAAAAAATTATATATATATATATATATATATATATATATATATATATATATATATATATATATATATATATATATATATAATTTTAAAATATAGAAAAAAAACTGAAGTCTATTATTACTATCCGATTGTCCAATTTGTACATTATCTCTCTCTCTCTCTCTATCCTATCTAGTTTCTAAGTCAGTTATCATCACAAAAACTGATTCTGAGAGAGAAAATCCAAACGCATGGAACTAGGAATGTCTCTGAACACCCTACTTCGACCTCCTCTCTCAACTTCCTCCTCCTCCTCCTTCAACCATTCTCTCTTCTCCATTCCAAAACAATTCCCAACAAAAACTCAACACCACCACCACCATGTCTTGGTGGTTGAAGCAAAGGGTAAAAAAGGAATGATGTATCGCCAATACCAGCGCCGTGCTCCTGCTCCTTTACCCAAAGTCGAAGACGACGGTAACCCTAAGTTCGTCGTCTTCATTCGCTCGGCTGATGTTTACCTTTGGTATCCTCTTAGTATTGTCGCCGGCGGCACCGCAGCCAAAATCATGGTGGCTGCTAAAGATAACTTTGTCGGAAAATATCTCTTCAAGGATACTCTTGATAGAAATATTGCTGCTGTTATCTATAGAGTATGTTTTTGAAATACTTGCTCTATCTATTATAGATGAGTGATGATTTGTTTGTTCTTCTCAACAATTTGTACTTGTTTGTGATGCATGATCTTATTTTTGTTACTCTGCTGCCTTTGATTTAAATAGGATGAGAAGGAGATAAAGAAAAATGCATTCGAACAACATCGAGTGCTGAAGTCAGCTACTAAATTCAGATATGGCTATAAAATTATTGTAATGTTCCTATATTTCTTTCTATGCTATGTTTTAACGTCGATTGAAGTTGAATTCCATGAGACTTTTGTTTTGTTTATTGACTTTTTCAGATAATGAATTCTAGGTTAATGGCAATGTCAAATCTGCACTTTCTTCCCGTGATGTTATTGAGGTGATATTCTTCACTCGTTCTTTATCTCTATTTTAGCAATGATATTTCTGAGAAAGTCCGTTGAAGTTTTTAACTCAATCTCAAATTTTATACTGCATTAGTCTCATATATCATGTATGTTTTACAAATACAGCAAGGAAGAACGCGTAATTTTCATTTTTAATAAATTTGCATAAAAAATGGAAACTATCGGGTTCATTAGGTTGTAGATTAATCATTGTCTGCATTTTAAAACTTTTGCTTTCTACTTGATGGTAAGGTTTTTTCCAAGTACTGAGGAAGAAGATTTGTGGATGCATTGCATTCCCACCTATTTATTGTTGTGTTTGCATATCCAATTTGCAGCTTCCTACACCAGATAAACTAAAACCCTTTGTTGATCAAGTGAAAGACTTTTTCGAAGATGTAAAGGATACCTTTAGGCAGATAACGTCATTAGACGATACTACAACCGAGGAGCCAGAGGAAGATAAGAAAGCAAAATCAAAATCTAAATCTAAATCTAAGTGAGTTTTATGTCTTGTTGCCTGAACAACATCTCTTGAATGTAGTTGTCAAAGGGAATTTTCATAATATATATTTTTTCCATATCTGTACCTTCTTCATTTTCTTGATGCTGCAAATTTGATGGATGTGTCTCTAATTTTAAAACACTTCAATAAACATTATTCAATTGCACGCGAAGTAATATTTTAAATTTCTAATGGTTTGGATTGTTGTTGTGCTAATGTCAGGGTTAAAGGATGATGAAAGTATAGCAGGAAACGATTTGCGTGAATTGTTATGTGCTGCTTGGGGGCAGCATGAGCTTTAGAAAGTAAGCTTCACGCTGTTTGTAGATTGGTTAATGGCTGCTTTCATTACACAACAAATGCTACTTGTACTTTGTTCTTATACCTGTACTACACCCAACTAAATTATGTTCTAATGAGTGAGCATTACTTTTATGGTGCTGTTTACTCATTTATGTTTTGATTCATAATGCATTGGGATGGATAGTTTGTTGAGTGACTATAATGGATTCAGTTTTACTTCAGCAAATTTTGGTTCTGCTGTACAAATTATCAGTTGTAATATTCATGGCTTTTATTTCACAGGAATTCATTCTGTTGATCAGGAATATTATGTATTACGGTACTTTTTGCAATATATGTATGTATAAAACAAGAAAAACAACTTAAAACGAGTTGCCACATAAGATATTGTTGTTGTTGGACAAAAATTAAGTTCATAAGAGTTAAAATCTGGAGAAAAAAGTTCATAAAAACCCGCATCACTCATCTTTTAAATTGATTTGGGAGAAATAAGCGGTGTTTATAAAAACTATATTGATATTAGAGTTTATATATTCAGGTCATCCATTCGATTATCCATTTGTAAATTTTAAGGTATCCACGAGTGTTTTGGTTGGTATTGGAATCTGTTGGCAAAATTTATGGCTATTTATATTTACACCCTTGCTATTTCTTTCAGGTTGTTGACGGATTTTCCAAAATGTTCTTTTGTTTTTGGAGATGTATCCCCGAACATATCAAAAACGTTTTTTTTTTAAGTAGACTTCAAAAAGGCAACCCCGAAGTCACCTGGAAGGTGTGTTCGGGGAGGCTAATCTAAACACAATAGTTGGAAGATGCATTTCTGAACTAGGTAAGTATATTTAAAGGTCGCGTCAGACCTTCCCTCTTCTCCTTCATTTGTCCATTTTCATCTCAAAACACCAAACTTTCTACCTCTCGACATCCATTTTCAGTACAGATTAAAGATCAAGTTTTGAAGCTTTTTTCTTGTGTTTCCAACTCATCCAAAGTCATTCAAGCAATTGCGATCAATATCAAAGCACATACACTCTACACCCAATCCATCACATTTAAAAGTAAGTTTGACATTTAACTTATTTTGATTTTTGATTATATGTATTAGTTTTAATGCATTAGATAAGTCAAATAGGTTGGTGTACTAGTTTAGAGACAATGTTCATGTGATTTGGATGAGTTTGGTTTGGTTTTGGTGAACTAGGGCACCTACATGAATGTTCTGCCATTTTTGTTTGCGAAGCTTTAATTCGGAAATGTATTTTCGAACTGGTCTATTCCAGCATTTCAGAGTTGCATTTCCGAACCAGTTCCATGCTCATAGTTTGGTTATATTTTTTTCCAGGACAATAGATGATAACCCTGCAAGGATAAGACTTGGTCGACCCACCCTCACTGCCTCTATTTGTCGTGAGAGGCAGCGTATGCGCGATAAAACTAGAGGCGCCCACCCCATCAACCTCACGATATAGAGGCGCCAGGCTCTAGGAGGAGGAGTAGACTATCATGTGGATCAGGATCCCAGAGTGATTCCCCCCACGATGCAAATGCCCCTGTTGAGCCTGAGATCCATGTTGCTCTGGATGCCCCCCTTGCAGACCCGTTTCTAGGAGGGTCCACTGACACATCTTTGCTCATATACTTCGGATAACATGTGGCTCCTCGTGTCTGGGATGGAGAGGTATATTTTTGAAATGACTCTGTTTTTTTAAATTTGTATCCAAATTAAGCTCAACTGATCATGAAATGTATTTCACAGTTTTTACTCATACTTAATTTTACTCATTCATTTTCAGGGATGGATCCTTGCTCACTTTCATCGCATCAACGACTTTCATCGTGCGGCCTCATATACTCATGCTTATCCATATGATGCCCGGTTTTCCCCTAGCAGAGGGGATGATCACATATTGTCGTACCGTGTGTACCTCGACCGCATTCAACATGACGAAATCAAATGGAGGTCATACGGTGCTTACGGAGACAAAGTGATACTCAACCTCATTTCCTTATACTCTGGATGGTTGGCTTGTAGGAGCAACATCATGTGCAGATATCTTCCTGAGCGTTGTATGAGACAGTTTGGATACATCCAGATTATTCTGAGGCCCCCCTTTCAGGCTGCTCCCATCAGTGTTGTAAGCAGAGACTTAGAGGTCATTTTAGAAGATTTTGAGAGTCATATGGTACCGGAGGAGTATCAGGCATAAACAGTCACATCTAATTGGGGTTATGTGGATGATTACATGACATGGTTCTACTAGGTGTCACATCCTTACATGACACATGACGCCCCTGGACATCCACCTAGGCCTTCCTATAAAGAGATCTTGGAGAATGCTCAGGCACATGATGATCATGTTGTTGACGTCTTGTCGATATGTCATAAATCATGCAAATTACAACCGATAGGGTTGATTTTGGACTGTTCCAAAGAGGTGGCGAGGAAGCGGTACAAATAGCACGTGTCATTCTTTTCGAGGCACAAAATACCTTGGGTTACCGTAGGCAGAGGGGGAGCTAGGGAGTCAGGATTACACATACACAATAGAGTATGCATTGGATTGTATTTTAGTTTAATTTCTATCGACTTTGTGAAAAGTTATTGTACCTTTAAATTCAGTTTCTATGATTTTCGGTTTTATTAAAGCTTTACATTGTTCTATAATATTCGTTTTTATTATTTGTTGAACCAAATAACGACAGATTAAATCGATTACAAATTAGTTTCGATTGAAAAACAACAACTTTAGAAAAACAGATTATGCCAAATAGACTCAGGGAACAATTCAGATTTGCAATTCCGAACTATGCCCACACATAGTTCGAAGATGCGAGCCTGAACCAATTTTCTTCAGAAAATTGGGGGTAATTTGATTTTCTAAGGGCGAAAGAGGACTTCGGAATTGCATGTCCGAATTTTCCCTTAGGGTTGCTTCGGATACGCCTTTCCAAACTCAATTTTAAAAAAAAATGGTATTTGATGGGTTTGGAGATGCGAACCCAAACCAATTTTCTTCATAAAATGGGGGTTGTTTGATTTTTCTAAGGGCGAAAGGAGACTTCGAAATTATATATCTGAATGTTTCCTTGTAGTTGCTTCAGATACACCTTTTCAAGATTAATTTTGAATTTTCAGAGATGAATCTACTAAACAAGGGTGAGAAAAAAATTGCCAAATTTATTTATTTTTTAAAATTTATTTTAAAATAAACTATCATAAAAGTGGGATATGACATTTGATAATTGGATGATAATAGATACCCGAACAAAATTTATGTATACGTGCTCACTTTAATTTATATTAAAATTATGATAGAATTAATTTGTTTTTATATGTATTTGTTTTATTTGTTTTCAATTCTATAATATAAACAAAGTGAATTTATTTGTACTTGATATACGGAAAAATATACCAATGTCTTTTATATCTTTTCAATTTCTACATGGTATAAGAACTTAGGTTTTCTTTTAGTTATTCCTTGTGTTATTTTTTCTAGAGTATTCTATTTATTTTGGCTTATCACCACCAATATATTGTTTGGGGTCAGCTTTGGTATCAAATGGTTTTAGTCCTTTCAAATCACAATTACGGGAGATCAAACTGTGATCCTTTCTACCAAGTCCAGCGCCAATCACCACTGAATCAACTAACGATTATTTAGAGTATTCTATTTTAGTTAAGGGTATATGTGATCAGATATGAATTGGGTTTGGTTAAATTCAATACCTAATTTATATGAGACACTCTGATTTAGATGAGGTAAAATAAAAGGATTTAACTTACCAACTCCATAGTTATACCTGACACCTATCCAAAAGTATGAAAATACTATAATAATATGTTGTATCCCAAAATTTTCCCTCTCATGTCTCGAGGGCTCTTGGAATTACTTCAGTCAAGTTTCAAGCCTTAGACCACATTTTCTAAGAAGAATCATTCAAATTATCAAAAGGGGGCAAAATGAGTAACATTGGAGTTTCAGCTGGAAAAAGTCAATCGGATGCTAAAAAATCAAACTTTGACTTTTTGACCAAATTTGAGTCCCAAAAATCACATTATGTCAAGACATCAAAAAATGGAGTTTGATTCATCAAAATCAAGAGAATAAAAAATCCAACTTTGCGACTTTGAAATTTTTCTAAGTATTTTCTATACTTGGTTAATTTCATTTACTTTATGATATTTTTTGCTACAATTCTAAATAATTCAAAATGATGCAAGTAATTCAAGTTATTACTAAGTTGCATTTTTGCAAAATTACAAATTCTAAAACTATGTCTTGATTGAGTTCTCTCAAAAAACCTTGCCACATTATTTTGCCCTTGACATAATGTACATGAAATATTCCACAAGACCAAATTTGTGTCATGCTACAAATTATACTATCCAAGTTGAACAAAATGTGATATGCCACATTGTCACAACACCCCATGCTCCCCTGCAATAAAGCTTGTGCTATGCTGCACCCCAAGTATACATGTTGCCCAATACAGTTCAAAACTGCTCTATGCAGTCTGCCCAAGCCTGCATCACAATAGCCCCAGAATTGCACCAAAATGGCAAAGAAAAATTGTGGGAAGAAAGTGTCAAAATAGTAAGCAAAAACAATTTAAAATAACTTATTTGGTTTCCCCCCTAAACCACAGTCAAAGGTCTACAAAAGGGACTGTCTCATAAGACAAAGGGGTTGGATTTTTTGAAAGTGAGATTTTGAGAGAGAGAATAAAGAGTTTTTGTTGAGCAGAAAAACAACATCCTTTGAAAAAAACTTGACTCATTAATTTTCAAAATAAAAAGTTCTGTTCTTATTCAAAACAAGACCCCAACCCATTAGTCCACCATACAAATTCTCCCTTAAGCCAAACAACTCTTCACCTACAAAGACTGTCCAAACATAACAACAGTCCCGATAGTATTGTACCGATAAAAAATGTAGCGGGGTAAATCGGAGATCGAATTATTAATTAATTCGTCTCACAAAAGCAAGAGTCGCCACCGCGCTTTATTATTTCCAAGGGAAAAGGGAAAAGAGCGAAATAAAACCCTAAAGTATGCAATGTAAAATAATACTTTAAAAGTAATGAAAATACAAGGCGTTTTTGAAAAGAGGTCTATGGTTCGGGGGTTGGTTATACAATGGGAAGGTATTAGCACCCAATGTATCTATAGTACTCTATAGGAACCTTTTGAAATATCTGTTTATTAAAATGTTCGTTTGATTAAAAATAAATTGTTTTGGCCGAAAAGGGGTACGGATGGGTTTATTGAAGGTACGACGACCTAATGTCAAAGTTTTGACTTAAAAGGTATAAGTTTTGAAAGAATTGAATATTTTGGGGAAAAATTATCTTAAGTTTTAATGAAATGAAGATATTCGTGTGATTGGACTTGAGGACATGAAGTCAACAAATTTAATCATTTTTTCTCTTGGATTTAGACATAAACAGAATAACCAAATAAAGATGAAATAATCAAGCGGAAAATTAGATAGATAATGATTAAATAGCTGAGTGATATATAACCACAACAATGATTAAATAACAGACTAAATGGTGTGAACATGCATTTTTTATATTTTTGTTTAATATTAACTAAAAAAAAGAAAATGTTTTTTTTTAAGTTTTTATTTTTATATGTATATTTTTTTTTGGTATTAATATAAAGTATTATTTTAAGAATTATTAAATAATTCTAAACTAAATTAAAACTTTAAAAGTTATTAACTTAAATCTAATTTAAAAAAAATAATACTAAAATTACTAAATTAATCCTAAACTTAAACTAATAAAAATGATCAAATTATTTAAAATTGTCTAATTAAATTACACCTCTTATTTGATTAAATTCACTAATTAACTAAATTAAAAAAATTCTAAAAAAGGCTAAAAGAAAGCAAATAGAAAGAGAGGTGTCCAAGAAATAAAGGGGGTAGATAATCAACTGTATGGGCCAAAGAGCTTTAAGGGGGCAAATCAAGAATAAACAGAATGGGATGGGGGGTGTTCTAAGAAATTCGTTGGTTTTTTAGGCAAAGGGAAACGGGTCAGGCCCAAATATGAAACAAAGTTTTAGGGTTTCTGATATTTGTTTTCATTAGGGAAATGTTAGGGTTTGTTGAGACAGAGGCGCCGTTTGTTCATCGTTCCACTTCGTCTTCTTCGCCTTTGCCTTTGCCTGAGCTTCTCTTCCGTCTAGGGCCACCGGTGCAGCCTCCACCTCTTCTCCCTCCAACGATTGCTCCAGCGGTGTTTGTTCAAGGTAACAAAACCTTAATCGTTCGCGTTAGGGTTCCATTTTTATATCTCATATGTTTTACTTTTTTTGCTTACTGATTCGAATTAAATGCTGT